TTCTATTTCACAGTGCTCCCTTCTTTCTATTTCACAGTGCTCCTTTCTTTCTATTTCAAAGTGCTCCCTTCTTTCTATTTCACAGTGCTCCCTTCTATTTCAAGTGGAAATTATCATCTTAATTTGTAATCTAGCCCAGACAATGATCAAGGCAGAAAAAAGTATTTTCAGCTACGTCAACAATTCAAAAAGTTCACCCTGCCATACGTATTTTGTTTGTTATAAGACAGTTTCACACTTTGGCCCAGACCAACCTGGAACTCCTGCCTCAGCTTTCAAGTGCTGGGATTATAAGTGTGAGCTATCTTTTTCTTCAACGAAAGATGCAACTTACTCAAATAAGAAAGTAAGCTGAAAAAGGAGGAGGACGGGAGTCCGGAGAGCACAGGGCCCACGTGAACAGCACACTGTCAGGAGCACAGTGATGGGAGGCCACACTCAGGCAGTGCGTCCCAAGTGCAGGGCGGCACTGCAGAGCTGAGCAAAACAGAGGCTTCCCAGACATTCCCAATTCTTAACAAGTTTGAACACCTACCATCTTATGTGTCTGTAGATCTGGACAGACTAGAGAAAAAAAAGAAAGACAAATAAAAGGAAAAATACAAAAGAAAACAATCTAACCCCAAGAAATGTAATCGTAGTATGCTGCAAGGTTTAACTGTTAAACATATTGACAGAACCATAATAATACAAACAATGAACTTGTAATCAAAACTGTGTTGTCACAATACAGGGCAGACAACAGAGGAAGTTCAGGGTGGCATAGGAATCCTAAAGCAAAACCCCTGTGAGCAGTCTAAAGTTGAAAGACAAAACTGCAGCAGCATGCACTCACGCCCGAGAAAATAGAAGCACTCGAATATCAGCTACGGTGTCAAAACCTGCTGCTCCCTAGGCAGGACCTAGGAGGAAGGTCACAGAGACGAGGGAGGGGACTAAAGATCTGAAGTCATGTGGTGTAACTTCTTACATGTACGCTGCATTCCAGTACCAACTTTTAAAAAAGAACAAAGTGGTCATATCACTTAATATCAATTACTTTACTCTCTGACCAACAACTGAACACTGTCTAAGTGTCGGGTACTTTCCTAAGAATCAGGGAAGAGAAGGGAGGAGAGGGAGGAGGGAGAGGAATGAGGGAGAGGGAAGAGGGAGAGGGATGAGGGAGAGGGAAGAGGGAGAGGGATGAGGGAGAGGGAAGAGGGAGAAGGGGAAATGGGGAAGAGGGAGGGGGTTGGTGATTAAAACCCATCTGTACTATTTAAAATGAGTTCTTGAATAAAACTTGGGAACCAAAGGAAATAAAACCATAAAGCATGAAAAAGGAATGAGTGCGGATTGATTTAAAAATACTGGAATTTTATCATATCCAATCTTCATTCTCTCACTAAGGAGGAACTAATGGGAATTTAAACCACACTTAAGGAAGTAATTATAGGGTAATGCAATAAACTCACTCTTTTCCAAGGGACCTACTAACACTAAGATAACTTCAAGCTATCTGAATTATATTTTTATTAAAAACCAAATAACTATTAAAAAGTGTGAAATCCAGACAGAAGTAACTATTTCAAAAGCAAACATTAGACAGCAAAAACCTTGTATTCAGAAAACAGGGTCCATTTTAATGCATTTTATTCTCAAAAGTTTGTATGTGTTCATTTTACATACCAAACAAAAACAGGATTTTCAGAGAAAACAGTCAATTTCAACTAACAGATTAGCATTTAAAAGCTTCTTAGAGATTGGAGGTGGTGGTGAACACCTTTAATCTAGCACTCTGGAGGCAGAGGCAGGCAGATCTCTGTGAATTCGAGACCAGCCTGGTCTACAGAGTTCCAGAACAGCCAGGGCTACACAGAGAAACCCTATCTTGAAAAACCAAACCAAACCAAACAAACAAAAAGCTTCCTGGAGACCAGTAGTGCACTAAATGTTCAGGTGTGCATCTTCACAAATACTCTGCACTCCGGAGGTGGAACATCACATTCCACTAAGAGCTACCGTCTGGATTTGGGGGGGGGGGGTCACTGAGTGATTACTGGTGGCTCATTTCCCACTCTGAAATGGAGAGAATAATGCTTACATAAGGTAAAGGTTAGTTACTGACTGTCCTAAGAAGTAACAACATATTTATAAAACTTTCAAAGCTTTGAAAGATCTACACCAATGTGTGCCACATTGATTATTAATAATGTCTCATCAGATTTTTCACTTCCAGTAAGATTTTTCTTTTAGCAACAGAAGAACAATAGAGTGCTGCTTCACTGGGGGAAGGGGGATGTTTTACTTTTCTTAAAGACTCTTATAAACAAATAAATACCGAGAGAATATCAGCAAATATTTCATCTAAGTATATAAACCATAATTGTTTAGCCACACATAAACCACACACCCCCTGACTCCAAGTAGAGGATGTATTTTGAGTTTGTCTGGAAACCAGATACCCAATGTGTATAAACATAAGCATAGTTTAAGACAACTGTCTTGGTGCTTTTGTTCCCTAACAGTTCCTTCTATTCTCAGAAGGAAAAATGCAAATACTATCCTAACTCAAAAGGCATCATGAATCTTTACTTCTTCAATTTTTAAACTAATAGACCTGCCCACTTACCACTTTATCTCCATCAGGGCACACACCTATTTTTTTTCCTGCAGAGTTCCCTCCACGTCTTTCATACTACAGCACCCATCAGGTACTCAATGTGTATAGAATAAACTAGTCTCTGGACAAAGGCTTGAAAGCAGCCTGGTCGGGATGTCCACATCTTTAATCCTAGCACTCAGAAGGCACAGACAGGCGGTTCTCGGGGAGTTTAGAGGCCAGCCTAGTCTACATAGTGAATTCCAGGACAGCTGGGGCTACATAATGAGACCCTGTCTCCAAAAACAAAACAAAAGGTTCAAATTGCAAGCAAATTAATTTCACCAACAAAGCCACCTTTCACCACAACACAACCACTGTCCCAACGTAAGGCCACAATAAACTAAAAAGGATACACTAAAAAGGATTTAAATGCACACAAACTGCATTACTCACTCGTATCTGATTCACAGCTGACTTTTAAATTGTATTTTTCTCTCAGAATTTTTGGGTGTATCCTTCCTGATACTGTAATATCAGAAAAATAGACTGTGATCTTGACACACAAACAGATCTTTCAGCTTCTAATGCATCTGGCGTGAAACGACAAGGTGAACAGTATTACTGAAAAAAAGTGTAGTTCCTAAAATCAGGAAAAGGTAGAATATAATGGGGTGGGGAGGAAGATAGGTCTTAGTATTTCAAAATTACTATGGCAGAATTTAAAGCTTAAAATAACTACACTTAAGTTATTCAAGGAACTCAATAAACACATCCAATCTACAGATGTGGCTAAGACAAGTCATTTTCCACATTTCGAAGCTTCATGGCTACACATGTTCACTAGAGGCTATTACTATTAAAACAACTCTGTTTGGTTATAAACCCTACATCAGCAGTAACAGCACTACACTTACTGTATTTGTGATGCCACAGCCGGAACAACCATATCTGGGTGGGACAGGCTTTATACTTTGCAAGTTACCAACTGTGGCACTTCGTTACTCCGACACGCAGGGAACGAAAAGTTCGAGATTCTAATGGTCATCTTCAAAGACACAGGAACCCGAGTCCACCGGATGGTCAACATTAAACACACACACACCACCAAAGTCAACTCATAAACAAACACTGGTACAGAAACAAAGCTCTACAGCTACCTGAGCGTTAGGAGAGAAAGAAAATACAGAGCACCTACGGGGAAAGGCTCAATTAACTGCTGCGCGTGTTTTCATCCTCCGATCTTAAACAATAGGCACGGGATGCTTCTGTGGAGCGCTTTCTGCAGGGAGATTTCGGGTTGCAAACGCCCCTCCTCCACAGCTAGCATCAGGGCCCTTTCTTCCTCCTCCCTCACCCCTCCCAGCTCAAACAAATTAACATTCGTACTAAGGTACCTCCTATCAGCTCGCAGCTTCTTCCCAAACACGCCCACGCACCCTGAAACCCGCCTGCGTCTACACCGCACACGGCGGCAGGAAAAGCGCTTCGAGGGGGGCGGGGAGCCGCGGCAGAGCACAGGTCCGGGCTCCCTTCCAGGTCAGCTCCCCATCACCTCCCAAGCCCGGTGTTGACGAGCCCGCCTAAGCCCACACTGCACAGGAATTCCGGACGCTGCGGGCCGATGGCGCGGCGGTGCGGGATCCCACACCCACCCACCCCCACCTCCGTGTCCGCGCGCAGCCTCGGCGGCAGCGCCGCTCACCCCGCGCTCCGCGGGCGGTT